GAATCCTAAAGTTTCATATTTGTTGAAAATATGATTTTTTTTTCAATCTACAATTTCGGTTTCTACTTGGTCTGTATTGCTTATGGTAATTGTGTAGAGCTTAATAATACATACCGGAACAAGATCTTCTGGCGAAAAATGTTACCTTCACAGGCTATATCATGCTTCGCCAGTACTGATTTTCGGAGTTTACTTTCAAAAGGAAATTAAAAATATACCGAACTTGGTTTCGTTTAATTCGAAAGTTTTTTATCCATAAATCCATATTATCGAGATCATTTGTAGTCTTGCCTGTATTCACTTGAGATTAATATCAATGGATAAAACTGCTGTATCATCTGCAAATATACCCATTAGGCCCTTACCGCTATTAGAGATTGTGGCTCTGCTGCATGCAAGAGATAAAATATGGTTTCTTAAAACTACCTTAAGGTATCCCAGCTTCTATCTAAAAATGTTGTGGAAACTATTTGGTTTGTTTAATGAAGAAATGTTTTGAACAGAGATGTGGTCTCAGGATTATAAAGTAATTAATCACTAAACTAATTTTTTAGTTCTTTTGGGAACAATAAATAGCAATATTTCTATTTATTACGTATCTTGACTAATAATCAGAATTAATAATTCATTAAAAATCTATAAAATTCCCTTAAATGATAATAGTTAAATATTTAATCTTAATATCCACTATCTATGTATTTTTCCACGATATAAACCACTCTACTAAATGACTTATATCCCTCCATTCTCCTATCTGTTTAATGTCTATTTAATATATTTTAAAACTTCTTTACATCCAGAATTTTGTCTGAATTCTTAAGAATATATACATATTTTACTGTTTTTGTTCTAAACCAAAGTTTTTAATTTTATTCAAGTAAATAAGCAAACTCTGCCAAAATATCTGAGCGATATATTTGGCACTTCATTATGTACTTTAAGCACACATGTGTCAGCTTAAAACGTTAATGTCCTTTTAAAACAACCGCAGAAGACAACATTTGATGGATCTCTTCATAAGTAAATACGAAGGATTCAAAACCAAAAAAAGAAAATTATAAATTTTAATAGCATACAAAGGAAATTAATATGTTCACAGCGTAAATGTTAAACGCATATCAATGAGTATCCTCCCAACTCTCCAACTTTTTGTATGTGTAATTGGTAAATAATAGCTCGACAAGCGTATCCTTGCGTTCTTAAGTATCTTGTGAACCAACTAAAGAGTTTAAACATATGCAATGAGGTTTTAATGAACAGCTGTCTAGACATAATCAATTTCTAAAAAAAAAGGCGAATTTCATTATGAAATTGAATTTTAAAAAGACATAATTTTCAATCTCCGTTCATCATTGCCATTTATACTCCACATATTCGCATCTAAACTTAAGATACTCTGCCATATACTTTTTGTTTCAGTATCTCTATGGACTATAAAACCTTTTGGGAAATTATATTTGCTCATTTTAATATGTTCTTATCAATAATTTAATTTGAAAAATTTTTAGATTTTATTTAAGCGAAACTCAGTACATAAATTTTTTTATGTAGTGAAGAGAAGGACGAGGTTCCATTAAAAGCACTCCTGTTTATTATAACGTAAAAATGTAATATTGCGATTAAGCAGTAAATGTCAAAGTTCAAAATAATTTATAACAAAATAATTTAAATTCGGTGAAATCTATTTTAAGTACTTTTAATAACAATTTATCTTACATCTCATATCTAGCAAATTTCTTAGGATTAACGCATTAAAGGAAAATCTAGTCTGCAATGGTAAGTAGTGATAAAATTAAAATTAAGGTCGTGTGCGAGTTAGGCTAAGTTGCGTTCTAAATGAGGGAAATTCTAAGTTGTGCCGATAATGTAGTGATGTGTCGATACGTGTTGATAAATGGCTAAATGTGTGCAGTGCAAAAAATTCCAAAAATCTCCCATTTGGCTTAGCATCAACTTTGCCTAACTCGCAGACGTCCTAAATTGAATTAATTCTCAACAGATATATATATTAACCGCGTATTTTGTAATTAATACTTAAGAGTCGAGTTTTTGTAATGTCTACTTAACTTAAGCACTTTAGTGTCCAACATCGAAAACTTATAGTAAGTTTCTTAAGTAACTTTCGGATTTTGTCGTTTCCATTGACATAAGTTACTTATTGCATAGGAAAGAGCTCTTATGTGTCAAAAGGTTCTTTAAAGGTTTTAAGAGAGCTTCTGTTTGTTTAGAAAAATTTCACTCAAAAATATATATCACAAAAAATTAAATATAAAATTTAAAACAAATTAATTAAAGTACCAACTCATGTGGTTTTTAGCAATGCTGGCCATATTTCTTATAATTTTACTCTTCACTTAAATGTTTGGTTTGTAAAATCCAAAAATATTCAAATTCTGAAAAAAACTAATACTTAATTTAAATGTCATTTTTAATGTTAAGTGTTCAGCAGACACTTGCCATCGGAATGGCTAGTATTACCTAAAACTAATTTCTTACTTAAACATAAACTCAAATTAAGCCGTTGAAAATATAAAATATTTTCGTAATTTTATTTTTTTAAACATTTGAATTCATATTTGTCCTTAAATTGAAGGAAAAACATTTCAACACCCAATTGGATTATATTTTTGCTACTGAGTGCTCACAGTTAATTAAGAAATTTTATCCACGCTTAACACTTGACCTACTTATAATTGTATTGGCAACACTGGCGCAAATGCAATTGCATACGCACACTCTCTCCTTCGTCGCCTATTTCTGGATATAAGCAACTTGTACGTTTCAATGGCTTTTATATTTCAAAGATTGCAACAAATCTTTTCCACGCCATTTCATTTCTAAAATCCCAGAAGCAGAAATAGCAATAATCGTGGAAGTGACAAAAATCTAAGACTCTTAGAAGAGTTCAGCCAAACATTGGCGCATTGGCATTGCCACTACCAACTTATGTCATTTCTCAAACATACATCTACCATACTCAATATATGTGAAAGTCTAACCAAATTAAATGAAATTTTAAAATTTTAAAATTAAAAAAGGTGGCAACTTTCATTAAAGTCACAAAAATGTTCATTGAAGTTTCAGTCAAAAAGTTTTTCAGCATATTTTTCTCTTTTTTCTCAAATACAAAAACAATAACAATTGCTCAAAATCGCATTTCTAGTTAACTTACGAAATCTTCTAAGTTACAACTTTTAACTATTATTTTTCTTTAGATACTTTTTTTCATCTGTTGTATTCTGCAATTCTACAAATTGTCCTGCTGTGGAATTGCAATTGAGCAAGCAACCAATTTTAGTAGCACTTCAGATGCATACGAAACCGTGCTGCATTGTTCGTTCCCCACTGCAGTGGTTGTTGCGGATTGGGACAATAGAATCGCAATTCTGGGAACTTGAAACAATGTTGCGTATTATTTTTACAGTTGCAATTGCCTATGGCAGTGGTTGAAGACATAACTATGAACAACACTAAGTCCAGCAACTTTCAACATCGTGCGAAATTGAGAAGTTTAAATGAGCGTTCCACCATAGTTGCTTCCTTCTTCATCAGGCTATGGTAAATGTTAAACACCGACAGCCACCGAATTGAAGAGAAAAGGTAGAAAATCACTGCATAATATTTTGTTTTGCTTTCTGGTATCAAGTTTTGTTGTAAATTCAAAAGTTTTCACTTGAAATGATCCGAACGTCAAGGCAATGACTACGAAACTACTGTGGATGCTGGACTTAACTTTGTTTGCCGTCTTCTGCGGAAGTTTCTCTACCATGTTCGGATTCAAAAAAAAGGGATGTCTTTGAATTTAAACATTTGCATATAAAACAAAAACCTCGAGGTTTGCCGTCGAGTTTATAATGCAATGTAATACAATAAAGTTTCAATGGAAGTCTGTGGTTGAAGTTGATGAAAGGAATAACTTACAACTAATTAAATGTTACTTCTAAATATATATTAAAAAGCAAAGTATGCCAAAATAATGTACTCACACAGAGTTGAACTAATGATTCTTTGGTTAGTGGGTTACATAGATTGAACAACAGATTGATCTGTTGTCTTCCACTTCTCAAAATCAACGATTGTTTATTATTTCAGTACCATATTCGATTGATGGCCTTTACTATACAATGCGGCCACTTTGACCTCATTTTTAGCAAAAAAAACCAAAATAAATAAACTGTATATGTCGCATTAAATTTTTATAACTTAATCTTTTGTTCTTACCAATAAGCAGTCCGACAAGCATCAAGAAATTACTTTCCTTAGAGGCATTTTCTCTGTTATCTAATGGTAATTAGTCATTATTTCTATGCCATCTTAGTTTCCACCACTCTTACAATGAATGTGCAAAATAATGCACAGATTCTCTAAATAGGTGTGTTCACACCAGTTATTTAAAAGAGTAGCCATTAGCTTAGTAGTACTAACTCTTTCACTACTTGATCTTAATATTTTAAATCTATATCAACCAGTATGTTGCACATGCTGTTTGACTTCTGCAAATTATTAAGCAGCTGAAGTAAAGAATGTTGATCTTTTTAAGGATTTTCATCTACCAGTACCGCTAGTAAAAACTCCATTGAAACGCCAGGTACACTCAAATAAGATGAAAGAGAGTAGAATTGCAAACATAAACTTACTCAAACCAATTAAGAGCTTCTCAACAATATAACTTTTCTGAAGAAACAGAATGTCGTCCCTGATTCGAAGCAAAGAGGACCTTTATCAAAATTCTCTTTGTAGGCAGTATCGGTAGAGTAGACTACAGGGTTAGAAATACTTGTTTGATATGAGAAAATATAATACAGTACTTTATTCGAAGTGCAGAGTATCTTATGTTGGTGGGATTGAATGAGACTATAAAGATCTGCACTAGAAGTAGTGCTCTACTTCGTTGTGAGGCAGTGCCTTATTCAATTCTATTTTATACTATAAGACAACATATGAAACGTATCTAAAAAACAAAAAACTATACTTTAATTAATTACCTGTATTAAATGCCATTTCTGTTTCTTTTGACATTTACAAATGTCATTTATATTTCATATTTTTTTTTATTTTTTTTTTAATTTTTTTTCTTTTAATTATTGTAACGCAATGTTAATATTAACTAAATAATTAAGAAATTAATCATTGCGCCCATGTAAATGGAACTTGGTTATAATTGAGAGCTAAAGAAATGCAGTTCTACTTCTTCTTTTTCTTTTCCGCACCTTCTGGTGGAGCTCCGTCAAAAATTCCTGCTGCCATCATGCGATTAAAAGCTTTTTCAGTATCATAGTTTCTGTAATCATCAAAAAACAAACTATTAAATCACATTCTATATTGATTTCTTCCATTTAAACTCACTCATAGAACTCACGAAAAACCGCACGATGAGGACGTCTGTATAAGAAGTAGAAACAGATACCGGCGGTAGCTGACAAAGCAACAGCAGTATAGATGTTGCGCATTGTTTGTGCCATATGCAATCCACGCATAACCGGTTTAGGCAGTTTAGGCTTTTTAGGTTGGGGCTTACATGGATCCTTTTTAGGAGGTTCCTTCTTAGGAGGTTCCTTCTTACAACCTTTTGCATCCTTGGCAGACATAATGCTAAAAATTTAATAAAAAAAAATTATTTATTGCAATTAATTGCTAATATATCTTAAAATGAACTACTTTACTTTCAATTAATAATTTGCTTTCCACAAAAAAAAAAATTTTAACTAGAAGAAGTCAAGAGAAATTTCTGTTCCTTTTCGTACAGAAACTTTATTTGAAATGACTATTTTAATATTCTAATTTGGTATATATATAATATTTAAATATTTCAAAGCTTGCTTTTTTATTTTTATTTAACACAGCAAGATATGTACATTTTACACAAAATAATAGCAAGATATTCTTTTTGAGTGGATTAAATAGTTTGTGTTGTTGAGATTAAAATAAATTTTTTTATGCTTTATTGTTAAGTGAGGTCCCCGTATCCACTTCGTGGATTTTAAGGACATCTATAGCTCATTAATATTTCTTTTAGTTCTCACTAAAGAGTTTATTGAAAAGAGAAATGTGAAGTAGTTTATTTCGTAATTGATAGAAATTTAATTTAATAAATTTAACTAAGTTAAATATCCTGGTCATAGGGATATTTTTCGACAATTGAAGAGCTGACGAGCTAGACAGAAAAAATATTTCAAGACCTCACTCGGTACAACTAAATAATCTTTATTGGAACATAATGTAAACTATTAATGAGTTCCTTCATTACTGAAATTTTTAATAAAAGATGGGAAGACTAAACGATATCAGGTATCTGTATAAAATCTGGCCACGTTCCAATAAATGGAAATCCAAAATTCTCATTGAGATGCCCCGTATAGATAACAGTCTTTTGGTGAGTTTATTTACAGGTCACTGTAAACTAGGAAACCATACTAGAAGAGGAAATCTCTCTTTCAATCATACCTGTCGCAGAGTGCGTCTCATCTACTATTTTTTTACCCAGCTCATACACGGCGGCGACTCAAAACTTTAGAAGCCGCCTTTCTTGTGGATCTTTTCTAATTACAGCATCTGACACTAAATGGCATTTTAGGTGCGTCTCATCTACTATGTTTTTGCCCAGCTCATGCACGGCAACAAGTCAAAACTTTAAAAGCCCTCTTTCTTGAGGATCTTGACTAATTACAGCATCTGACACTAAATGGCATTTTAGGCTGCGCCAAATGTTCTAGATGGTTTCAAACTCTGTTTTTTTCCTATATATACGGTAACACAATGGGCCAATAGGGCTAAGTGGATCCACTAGGAATCGCCGGCATAACCTAACCTAACCTAACTTAATTAAGCATTTCTTATATATTTTAACATTTTCAATATATGACTTAAATACTGTATTCAATCGTTTTGAATATTTTTTTAGTATTTCTCTTAGTAGAAATTTCAAATGTATCTTTATATCATGGACAGTTCAGTGAATATTACATTTTCACTCTGTCAATGTCATTTGGCTTAATACGCATCTTCGAACAAATGTTCCCAGTATTCCATCAAAGTGAAATCTTATTCCTGGTTACTTAAGGTATTAAATTACTTAAATTCATACCTGCTCGATGCGCCTAACACCCTACGGGCTTATTGTAATGCAAACCGCACTAAAATGTATTCCTGCTGACCCGAAGCCACGTTTAAAGCAAAACCTAATACACAAAAACGTTTATTAAAACGAAATGACAACAAACAATAAAACTAAAAGCGAATGAAAAGCGAAGCTGTATGTGTGGACATGTGTGTGACTTTGTCGGTAATGAATTTGTACTTTAGCTGATAATAAATACCGCACATTAACATTGAAATTATATGAGGTGATATTGCAATTACAATGGTTGCATATGTGTTGACACATTGCGAAATATAAACGAACAATCCAACGAATGGTACGTGCACCAACTGTACTCATCTCATCAGTCCACTCCACAAGTGAAGCTGAATGTTTTAAGACAGATTATAGCATAAATGACGCATTAACTCACACCAACTAATCACACCAACTGACCCGCTACTGACTGACCCCACTGTCACCGAAAGAACTTAAGCCCGAAGCCAAGCCAACTCAAAAGATGTTAACAATATTGACTACTTAAGCGTAGTGGCTAACAAGACTTCTCTTCACACTAATACTAAAGCATTTGTGTGGAATTAGTTTCTTGTTGAATTGTTTTTAGGATGCGTACACCATTGTGTGTATGCGTGTAAATGCGTGTGTGTATACCTATATATATGTACGATAACTGCTTTGTGCGCTGAATTGTAATGAATAAGCACATTTGTTAATTTACAAACATTATTTTATATACTTAATTTAATTAAATTGCATAAAGCAGCTTTGTAGCTTATAAGCGACGCGAATACGCAAGTTAGTGAGCATTGTTGTAATTGTGATTGTAATTGTAGTTGTTGTGTTGTAGTTGAGTGAGAAGAAATAAAAGTAGTTGTTGGGTTGGTTCTAATATGTTTGCTTATGAGTGTGAGTATAAGTGTGAGTGACAGTAGAAATGAGAGTGGAAGTGGAAATGGGAAATGGAAGTGGGATTGGGAGTGGGAGTAAGTATACAAATAATCATAGTCTTAATATTTACAATTTATATGTATTTTCTATGCTCTTACGTTGCTGTGCTATATTTTAGCACACAAAATTGTAATTGCAAATCTAATTAGAATTGTAATTGTTGTTCAAGTAGTTAACGTATACGTGTAGCTACAACTTTGTGTGTGTGTGTGAGTAAGTTTCCTGCTGCGTTGTTAGTTATGCTGCTGGCTTATTCTGCCGGAAGGTGTGAACGCTCGACAACATTTTATGTAATTTAAATGCGCGACCATAAATTCTTTAGCGCGTATTAGTGGCACAATAATTCACACAACTGGATTTGGTCTGGCATTTAAGTTTTTATTGTTTCATTTGCGTTGGGCGGCAAAGTTACACTTACAGTTAACAGCACTTCGCCTAATGCTAGCCATTGCCATAAGTAATAATTCTTGTTAATGTTCAGCTACTTTTTATACTTTTTGTTACTAAAAATAGGTAGCCTTAGCTTCACTCTTAAGCAAGGTCTATAAGACCTTACCAGTTACGAAAGGAAACTTTTTGCGCTTATCTACAGAAGCACTAAGTGCTGAGGTATGTTCCTAAAAATTTATTATTAAGTGCGTGCTAAAGTGCATTTTAAGTGATATTAAGCATCCCCAATGAGTTCAGTAATAATTTAAATTAAGTACTTTAAAATTTATATATTTAAATAATAGTTCTTAGAGTCGAAACATTTACTACAATTGAAGTAAATTTAAATACCACTCTTATTATGCTGAAAATTTTACAAAAATTTATTATAGCTTTTAATTTATACAGGCATTTAAGTTTTAAGTATCATACTATTAAGTTTAAATGATGCCCTATATATAGCTGAACACTTAAATTTCCATTAACAAAAGGACCTAGAGTTTTATAATTTAACAAATTTTTTTAAAAGAAAACATAAGAAAATTTTAGACGAAAACTATTTATAGGATAATATAGATTAATGTAGAAAATAATCAAAAATTTTTGATAGAATATTGTTACGATGGAATCTTATAAAATACAAAATAATAAAATATATTGACCAACGCCCAATAATGCGATTATTCGCTGCGTAATGTAGTGCGTAATGTCAACAAAATTTCACTCTTTAATTTCACTCATGCTTTAAAATGAGTAAGTTAAAAGTGTGTGCCGAAATTTCTTCAATACTTCAAAAAGATCTTGTCGCACACTTACTCTCAAAGAACTCTTCTTTTGGGCTTTTAAAAAATTTAATTGGATTTAATGGATCCAGAAGCGAGAAATTACTTAATAAGACAGGTCAAGAAGGCACTCAGCCTTTGGAATGAAGTTCGAAATAGCATTTGGTAAGGAATTACTTGTTCGGACAGGGTCGAACGGCTCTCAGTGGAGCAAATATAATATAGTTCTTATATCGGTATTAACCTTAACCGAATGAAAAACAATCATCTTTCCAAATAAAGAATGAAACGTTTATTGTTAACAATTAACTAAGTGGGATAGTGAAAAAATAGTAGCTCTTTGTTTTGCTCATAACCAAAACCTATTAAATGCGTTTCAATAAGGTCTTTTTATAATCTTAGAAATGGAGACTATAAAATCGTTCCCAGTAAGAAGTTTGTAATATTAAATGAGGTCAAAAACTCCCATCACATTATTCTTCTTAATCTAAAACAAATGCAGACAGTCAAAAAGAAATCTACAAAAAGTTGGAAGTGAAAATAGTGTCGAAAAGAGATATTCCAAGCAAAGAGGCTTCAAGTTTATTCCGTTCCAAAGCAAAGCTAAGGTGTTACAAAGAATGTTCAGAAATTCAGCAGTTACCACCATATTTTCTTTCTTGATTTAGAAAAAAACCCGGACAGTCGCAAAGAAATTGACATAAAATTAAAAGTTAGAGTAGTGGTAAAAGCAGATATTTCAGTCAAAAACTACTCCTAATTTAGACACACTTTATTGAAATATAAGCTCCTATTAAGGATAATATATTCTAATAAATAACTTTCCAACAATCTCATGTCACAATACGATTATTAATCAGCAGAAAAAGTAGTAGAAGATGACGTCCTAAACAAACATCAAATATGATTGATTTACCTATTAAGAAACGACGTCGAAAAAATAAACCAGGTCCTGGAAATTACCTATAGTGTCGCCTCTGTAGCAACTTCTTTCAGTTTTTATAAAATAATGTCAACTGATCTATTTATAAGATCAGTGGGATTAAAATATGATACTATACACTTTTAACACTAAATAAGTATTTAGAAGAGTAAGTAGTAAATAATTATTACTGCAGGTAGTAAATAAAATTAATATGTTATTTGTCATTAGATGGGTTCAAACATTAGTTAATCGTTACAATGCATCCATTATTGATAACAACTGTGAACCGAATGAATTTTCTAAAGTCATTGAAGGACTGCCTTCTCTTCAGTTATCTTCAGAAAAGTTTTAAACTTAATTAACTCTCCGAGATACTATATCCATTATTGAACTACTGTATCTATAACAATGCTTTCACTGCAGTTATATCCAAAGAATCCTATTCTTTTTTATGTCGTTGTTTAACTCTTTGGATTCTTGTTTGATCTCTTTGTGGAAATGCATCTTTTCTATAATGCATAAGAACTGAGCATTATCCAAGGATTTGTAGGGATGTTTCGGTGTCTT